GACAACTTCAAATGGGTTTTTACTGGTGTCTATGGCCCGGTTGTTGATGATGAGCAACCTATCTTTTGGGAGGAGCTTCGCCATGTCCAAGGATTGTGGTCTCTCCCTTGGTGTTTGGGAGGAGATTTCAATGCTGTTAGATCCCCGTCAGAGAGGTCTACAGGTGGTAGAAGATCCCTGGAAATGGACCAATTTTCTAATTTTATTGATGAGCATCTTCTTATTGATCTACCAATGGAAGGTGCAGCCTTACTTGATCAAATGGTAGGGATCGAATCACTCTTTCAAGGCTGGACTGATTTTTAATTTCAGGGGATTGGGAAGAGAAATTCCCGGATGTTGTTCAGGCAGTGTTAGCAAGGGTTACCTCTGATCATGTTCCTTTGGTCTTAGATTGTGGTGGTTTATGTTCTCAAAGATCCCCGTTTAGATTTGAGAATCTGTGGCTGCGAGCGGAAGATTTCCAAGGGAAAGTCAGATCTTGGTGGGAGGAAGTTACTGCTTCGGGATCGCCCAGCTTTATAATTACAAAGAAGTTATTTATCAAAAAAAAATAATTACAAAGAAGTTAAGGGCTCTCAAATTTGCTCTTAAGCAGTGGAACAAGGATGTCTTTGGGAATCTGGAATGAAGAAAGAATAGAGTTCTTGTTGATTTTTCTGAGATTGATCGTCTTGAAGAGGCAAGAGGGGATGTGGAATTTTTACGTTCCAGGAGTCTCTTGTCAGGCGGATTTCGCTGAGATTGCAAGTATGGAGGAGATCTCGTTGCGACAAAAATCTCGGGCTATTTGGCTAAAGGAAGGTGATCGGAACACAAAATTCTTCTACCGGCTTGCTAATGCTCATAGGAGGAGTAACCACATAGGAAGAATTCGGGGGGATGGTGAGGAGTTGTGGAGAGAGGAAGAGGTGCGTAATGGTATTGCCTCCTTTTATCAGAAGCTTTATACCGAGCCTTTAGTTTGGAGGCCCAAACTTGATGGTCTTCTTTTTGAGGCTATCTCTGAGCTTGAAAGAGATAGGATTGAGAATCCTTTCACTGAAGAGGAAGTTCTTAAGGCTTTATCAAGTTGTAATGGGGACAAAGCTCCGGGACCTGATGGCTTCACCATGCGATTTTTGATGGAAAGTTGGGCAGTTGTAAGAAATGAGGTAATGAGTACTTTTCAGGAGTTTCATTCTTTTGGCGTCTTTGAGAAGTCGCTTAATGCTTCTTTCATTGCCCTTATCCCAAAGAAGGGAGGCGCTTCAGATATAAAGGATTTCCATCCAATCAGTTTGGTGGGCTGTATTTACAAACTTATTGCTAAGGTGCTTGCTTTAAGGATGAGGGAAGGTATGGATGGAATCATCTCGGATTCTCAGAATGCCTTTGTTGGCGGTAGGCAAATTCTTGATTCAGTTCTTATTGCTAGCGAATGTGTAGATTCCAGATTGCGTAGTGGTATTCCTGGAGTTTTATGCAAACTTGACATTGAGAAAGCATATGATCATGTGAATTGGAATTTCCTACTCTATTTGTTACAAAGAATGGGGTTTGGAAGTAAATGGAGGAAGTGGATCGAGACTTGTCTCTCGTCTGTCAAGTTTTCAGTTCTTGTAAATGGTTCTCTCGTTGGTTTCTTTGGTTGCTCTAGGGGAATAAGACAAGGTGACCCTTTGTCATCTTTCCTTTTTCTTCTTGTTATGGAGGGCTTAAGCAGACTTATGCGCAGGGCAGAAGACCTTGGTTTTATAAAAGGTTTCAGGGTGGGCAGAGATTTAGACCATCAGATGGAGATTTCTCATTTACTCTTTGCTGATGATACCCTGGTTTTATGTGATGCTGATGTGTCTCAACTTCGATACTTGAGGTGTATCTTGACTTGTTTTCAGGCAGTTTCCGGGCTTAAAGTCAATGTGGCTAAGAGTGAGCTTGTCCCAGTAGGGAATGTTCAGGACATTTCCTCTTTAGCTGCAGTCCTTGGATGCATAGTGAGTTCTTTCCCTATTCCTTATTTAGGCTTAGCCCTAGGGGTTTCTGCAAGGTTAGTGGGGAGTTGGGATTCCGTGATTGATAGGTATGCGAAGAGATTGGCAGGTTGGAAGAAGCAATACTTGTCAAAGGGGGGTAAAGTTACTCTTATCAAAAGTACGTTATCGAGCCTTCCCACTTATTTTCTTTCTATGTTCCAAATTCCTTGTTCCGTTGTAGATAGGATTGAAAAAATTCAAAGGGATTTCCCATGGGGAGGAAAGGGCGATGAATTCCAGTACCACCTTGTCAAATGGGAGGACGTTTGTAAGCCTGTGAAATTGGGTGGACTTGGAATAAGACGTTTAGTTCCTTTCAATCAAGCTCTCTTAGGTAAATGGTTATGGAGATATGGGAGGGAAAGACCTCGTCCATGGTGCAAGCTTGTATCTTGTCGGTTTGGGGACGAGGCTAGAGATTGGTCTACACGTCCAATTACCCTCGCGGGAGGAGTCGGGATGTGGAAAGCTATTCGGAAAGGATGGGATGCTTTTCCTGCCCATATTAGATTCAAACTCCGTGATGGCCGTCGTATTCGTTTTTGGGATGATCTTTGGTGTGGGGATCAGCCACTTTCTCGTACATTTCCTAGATTATTCAGTATAGCTGTTGATAAACATGCCTATGTAGTTGATTGTTATCGGCTTGATAGCAGTGGGATTACGTGGGATGTGAATTTTCGGCGCTCTCTTCAGGACTGGGAGATGGACGAAGTATGTGTTTTTCTGGATCTCTTGTATCGGTAGGAGGGCGTTGGTAGAGATGGTGATGTTTTGATTTGGGTTCCTTCTTCCCACGGTCGTTTTGAAGTTAGATCCTTGTTCTTATGTTTGTCTAATTTTGTTAATCGAGAATTCCCATGGAAAACCATTTGGCGGTCTATGGCTCCAACTAGAGTGGCTTTCTTTGTTTGGACTGCTATGAGGAGAAAGATTTTGACAGTTGATAATTTGAGAAAAAGGGGTAATTATATTGTTAATTGGTGTTGTCTATGCAAGGATACTGAAGAGTCCGTTGATCACCTCCTTTTGCATTGCCCTCTAGCGACCGATTGTTGGAATCTTATTGTTGGGTTGTTTGGCATGTGTTGGGTTATGCCACAATCTACTAAGGAATTAATTCATGTTTGGAGAGGATGTCGGGTGAGAAGAGATGTCCGCGATTTCTGGAGAATTGTACCTCATTGTGTATGGTGGTGCATCTGGAAGGAGAGAAATAGCAGAATATTCGAAGGGAAAGAGTCGCCTACGGCAATGGTCAAACTTTACATTCTTCGCTCTCTTTTCAATTATGTGAAGAGAAGTTTTTGTTCTTATTCGGATGATCTAATTACTTTCTTGGATTCGTTGGGGCCTTAGTCTTGGTCCCACTCTTGTAATTGGGACGCGTTCCCCTTTTGAACGCCTTTTCTTATATTATTTTTACTTATCAAAAAAAATTAAGAGAAATATGATCATCTCTAATGCAAAAAGAGCCTTCGTTAAAAAGGATATAATTCTAGATTAATATAACAAAATGCCTTGTCAAATGGGAGTGATGCCCTTTCACAGTTAAGTGTTTATTTGATTTTCTAGTGGGAATTGTTCATAAAAACCTTAGACTCAGCTTGACAACAGCTCGGTTTCATTTTTATTAGCTAACTGAAAAGAAAATCTCAAACAGCATCTGCAAGCTCGATAGGAAAACGGCCCAAGTCCAAACAAGACGTTACTCGACTTGTTAGGTTCGTGATCGTTTAACTGAACAGGAGTTGATGATTAGATTCCCTAAGACTCGTTTATTAAGACTTGTTTGGATTTATTATCGAAAAAATTTCCTTGTCAATCTTAATCTAACATAAATCATTATGACTTGTTAAACTTGTGAACATGTTCATAAACTCACTAAGGCTTGTTAACATAAAGCATTTTTATTAAGACTTGTTAGGATTTATAATCAAATTTTCTCCTTATCAACCGTAATCTCAAGCTCGAGTTTGAGCTCAAACTCGAGACCTAATTCAAATTCGACTAAGTGAGTCATACGACCTGAGCTTGAACTTGATGAGTAGTGTCCAAGCTTAACTCGAAAAACTCATGTGTGTGCTCAACTTGAGCTGGAAAATTCAGGTGCTCAACTTGGCTAGATTTATATTACAGTCCTAGGTGCTTGGAAAGGGGATCGACAGGCAAAGAATTGAATCCCTCAAGTAAATAATTAGTCTAGCATGTTCCAACAAATTAAATTTTGAAATAAATTGTAGATAAAATAGAACATACGGTGAGAAAAAGGGCTTAAAGATCGTCTTTCCACTAGGAAGTGGGGCTCCTTAGCATCAAAATCAGTGGATACAAAGATGACCAAAACGCAGACCTTTGTAAATGCATCACAAAGGATGCAACTAGGTCAGATTTGGTCTCCCTCCCTCTCTCTCTCTCTCTCTCTCTCTAGATATACACACACATATATATATATTCTCAGTTCTTGGGTGAAAGGAAGGTTTTAGGGTCTGACAGCTACTATGACTGCAATGGTGGAGACAGATAAAGCTAACGAAGCACCTATAATTCTGAAAGCACAGGCAGGAGGCCCTCTCATTCAATAATTGTTCATGTATTGTCTCTCCTTTTATCTGTATTAATCTTATACACGCATGCATGTATTATTTATGGTTAAAAAAAAATGTTAACAAAACCCAAGCTCATAAAGCTGAGCTAAGATATGGCAAGAATTGTAATAGACTGAAAAGAAGGTCTGGTTCGATAGTATCTAAGGCAGATCGTGGAAATACTTGGGTTTGTCTGGTGACCTAAATTTAGAAGTGCCAAATATTGCAAGCTTCAAACTGAAACATTTTCAATAAGGTATTTGATGAAAACGAAATTGATGTTCATTCATGGACATAATAGATTACTGGGCTTCACTGATAACCACATATCTTCCAAATCAAACACTCCTATTTTACGAAATGAAACAACCTCCGGTTTAAGGTTAGTAACACTCACCCATGATTCGAGAGATTAGAAATCAAAATATCATGGTCGTGATTGATGTCATTGGGAGAAACAGTTGTGTGCTGCGAATTTTCATTTGTTGAGGTCTCCATTAAGCCAAGCGGCCTTCACCTGAATAAATTATTAAAACAATAATCACACAATGTTTGAATCATAAGATATGTGTGTGTGTCAAAATCAAACAAATCCTCAAGGAAACAGGAAACTCTATAAATATATCGGTGTTTTTTAAATGACATCAAACCTGACCGTGGGAACAAATTTAAACTAAGGAAAACATAATGTCTCCACATAACTTGAAACAAAAACAAAAAAGTAAAAGGAAAGAGAAAGAAAAAAATTGATAGATAACAAAAGGTGATTCCAAACGTTTATTATAACCAACTAATTCAGAAAAAAAAAAAAAAAAAAAAAAAAAAAAAAAAAAAAAAAAAAAATCAACAAATCTAAACAGAGGAATGACTTTGGGATATGAGATCGATACATGAATCCTTAGTGGGAAATTCAAAGTGACAACCATCTGTTAGCAAGTAATCGTGAAGTTGTTCACATGGGATTAGAGAAACGGAGCTTTTAACTAACATACATACACACATTTATATAAACACTACCCGATAATCATAGCATCGGCCGTCACTCGCTTGACTCTGGCGAGTTGAGCTGAGTTGGGAGGGAAGTGGGCTTCTTGTCAAAATAAATAAATAAATAATAGAACAAAAATTGATAGAAGAAGCTTTGAACTTCGAAGCCATACTGATATCAACCTCTCAACTGGTATAGTGCCCCGCCGGAAGTTTCAGAGTCAGGCAACGGAGGTGTCCGGAGGCTGTTCGTCTGCGACTTCCACGCGACTTTCAGCCCTAGCTCTAGGTTCAGATTGTTATTATTTTTTATTTGTATTTTTATCTTTATCTTTATCGTTTTATCTTTTGGGATTGGGCTCCAAAAAGAGGGCTTTAAACCCCTTCCTTATATTTGAGCACGGCTTTGAGGCTTTTAATACAGAAATGGGCTAGAAAGCCCAAAAGCTGAAGTAACTAAAATAACCCATTTTTCTCACTTGAAAATTAGGAATATATTATAATATGATTAAAACAATTATAATTAGGAAGTTAAAATTGAGAGAATAAATAAAAAAGACTAATGTCGTGTTTGGTGTGCAGGAATAGAATGGAATGCAAGTGGGAATGGAATGAGAATGGGAATGTAATGGAATAACCATTCTCATTCTATTGTTTGATTGTAAATATGAAACGTGTAGGAATTGAATGATATAAACCATCATAGTGTTTGGTTGGACCAATTTAAAATTTAGAATAAAATAAATTTCAAATTAAATTCTCCAATATATTCGTCGTAGTAACATATAAATTAAATTAACAAAATGACAATCTCTAATAATTTTTTAAAAATTAATAGTGGCCGTGGTGGTGGTGGATGGTGGTGGAGGTGGAAAGCAATAGTGGTGTAGGTGGTGGTGTTGGAAGGCGGCGGTGGTGGTAATGGTGGAAGGTGACAGTGGTGCAATGGTGGAAAGCGCGGCAGTGATGTTAATGGAAAGCGATGGCAGTAGTGTAATGGTGGTGGTGGAAAGAGATAGTAGTGTAGGTGGCGGTGGTGGAAGGCAATAGAGTTGACTGTGGTGGTGGTGGAAGGCAGTGGTTTGGGTGACAATGGTGGTGGTGGAAAGTGGTGGGGGTGGTGGTGGAAGGCGATAGCAGTGGTAGAAGGCGGTGGTGGTAGAAAGTGGTGGCAGTGGTGGTGGAAGGCCGTGGTATTGGTGATGGTGGTGGTGGAAGGTAATGACGGTGGTGGCAGTAGCGATGGCGGCGGTGGTGGTGGTGGTGGAAGGTAATGATGGTGGTGGTGGTGGTGGCGGAGGCGGCGGTGGTGTAAAACGGTGGCAGTGGAAGGCAGTGGCGATGGAAGATGGTGGCGGTGGTGAAAGACGGTGGCGATGGTGGAAGGTGGTAGTGGTGGTGAAAGGTGATGATGGCAGTGGTGGTGCAAGGCAGTGGTTGTGGCGAAAGGTCGTGGCGGTGGTGGTGGAAAGTGGCAGCAATGGTGAAAGGTGATGACGGCGGTGATGGTAGTGGTGGAATGTGGTGGCGGCGGTGGTAGTGGAATGTGGTAGCGATGGTGGTGGAATGTGGTGGTAGTGGTGAAAAGCGATAGTGGTGACAGTGGTGGTGGAAGGTGGTGAAAAACGGCGGCGGCAGTGGTTGCAACAAAGGAAGGCAGTGTCGGTGATGAAAAGTGGTGAAGGTGGTGGTGGTGGAAAGTAGAAAGCGATGATGAAAGTCGGTGGCAGTGGTGGTGATGGAAAGCATAGTAGTGGTGGTGGCGGTGAAAGGCGAAGGTGGTTGTCGTGGAAGGTAGTGGTGGTTTTTGGACTTGGAACATAAATGTTTTTTGGGAAGTTGATTTAAAAAAAAAAAAAAAAAAAAAAAGTTTACTTGGGAATGGAATGGCCATTCTATAAGTTTAGTTGTGGAATTGATTTTTATTCCTAGGAATAGTCATTCCCACTTTAAATTGCATACCAAACAAAGGAATGGTTGGAATGGGCATTCCATTCCTGCACACCAAACGCAACATAAAGTCTTTTAGGAAGAGAATAAACTATTATTCATCTTGTGTAACATGGAGTATGTACACAAAGCATCACATCTACATCTCATACGCTCCCTGGTCACCATTTTAAGGTTGAATGCTTGATTTTTTTATTGTCATATGTTTTACAAATTTTCATTTACATGTATAGCACATCAAAAGCTTAAGATAAGAGAAGAGAACGATTATATGGACTCCACACTTTATATATATATATTAATTGGTAGTGTGGAGCTTGATGATGAGCACTAAATATTGCATATGCAAGCCCCTGAACGTGCATATATTAAGACCTTAAGTGATACTTCTATCCAGTTGGAGGTGATCGAAACCCTAACTAAACTGTGGCAGACTGTGTCGGCCTCTGTTGTGAGCCTCCACCCCTGCTAGTACCACTACTTCATCATAGACAATCTTTCACCAAGTGACCTTGCTGGCCACACCCAAAGCATCCTCCCTGAACAGACTGAGTCTGTGGACACTATGCATTGAAATGCCCGGGCTGCTTACACTTAAAACACACGGCATCCGGTTTAGAACACCCTATAGAAGCCGTAACCGCTGGTGGAGACCTAGTAGCTTGCTGTCCCTGAAACCTGATGGCTCATTCATGTGCCTCTTCCTTGACTGACTCTCGAAAGTAGCACCTGCATTCCTGCTTTGTCTATAAGACTCCCGTATAGCCCGTTTATCCTTGCTTTACGCCTCAACCACTAAGGCCTTCCTCACCGCTTTTGCATACTCTGTCAACTCTGCGACGGCCATTACTGGAGTAATGCTGAAATCAAGACCACCCACAAACTTCAAGGTCTTTTCTTCATCATCATTTGCTATCTCAGGTGCAAATCTTGAAAGGGATGTGAACTTGTTCTCATACTCCGTAATTGTCATGTTCCCTTGCTTGAGACCATCAAATTCTATCTTCAACTCTCTTTTCTTAGGTGTCGGAAAGTACTTCTCATAATAAAGCTTCTTAAATGCATCATAGGTCATAATGTTCACATTGTGTGTGTGATAAATGGTCTTCCACCAAATCTCTGCATCTATGGTGAAGTTATAAGTAGCCAACATGATCTTCAATCTATCCGATGACAACTCCATAGTATTAAGATGCTTCTCTACCCTATCAATGAAACTATCCGTAACAAGCAGATCCAGACCGCCCTCAAACAAGGTCGGCATTAACTTCACAAACCTTGAAATATAATCAAGAGTCTTCTCCGACTCACTCTTTTCCGGGGGTGGTGCCGGTTGTGGCACAACTTGTGACGAAAAAACTACTATAGCCCGAAGAACTTCCTGGAAGACCATAGTTAGGGTTTGCCTAACTTGGTCCTCGCCCACTTGGATAGGCGGTTCAACATTCCTTCTAACTTGTCCCCTTCTAGGCGGGACCAAATCACACAATAGTGTATCTTCCTCAACTTGCTCCTCAACCCTCTCCATGGGATTGGAGCTAGAGCTTTCCTCGAGATCCCTTCTTGGTGGCATGGTGCTATAAAATGAGAAAATGATTCCAAAATAGCAATAAAATATAGCCTGCCCCAGAACGACGTCTTCATGCAACACACTCAACAATAATGGTAACACGTAAACACATAAAATGCTTCATACGATCCTTAACATTGAATCAATTTACATCCATGCTTAATTCATATAAATACCCACACATATGGACGTCCTCATGCAACACACTCAACAATAATGGTAACACGTAAACACATAACATGCTTCATATGATCCTTAACATTGAATCAATTTACATCCATGCTCAATTCATATAAATACCTCACATACATGGCCATGTAATTAGCATACCTCAACATTTAAACATGTAGTCATATAACACTTAAGCAAGTAATCATGTAGTAAGTAAAGATGAATCCAGAACATTTAACACTTTAACACGAAACACATACTCAATGCAAATTAGCTCTCTACCCCATTTAGGTAAGCTACTACTTGTCGTCCTAAAGTTTTTCGAACCTTTGCTCTAAAACCAAATCTGTAACGATCCAAACTCGAGGAACCGGATCGCTAACTGGGTCCTTACCTGATCCCGAGGATACTTAAGGGTAGAATAGTCATTTTGCACTAACTACATAATAAGAGTCACAAAAAGGTTATATTGGTCATTTCTAGCCACCACGGGTCATATGAACAACCTATCTCAGACTTTGGGTTCATTTAAGACCTTTTGGCCACTAAGAGTAAAATCGTCCCTTCTTGTCAAAATTATGAGATAAAACCCACACCATGTGAAAGAGGGTTTAAAATCAAGTAACTTTGACTCAAGAATGAGTATAATCGGGTTTGAAATGAAAAAGATATGATGCGTTGAAGTCGGGTTTTGAAAATACAAGAAAAGAGGAATTTTGGCTAAGTATGGAAGCATAGACTAGTCGCCCAGCACCCCTAGCAACTCGGCATGGGCATGAGGGCCACCCGGCGCGCGCTTGATAAGCGGCGGCTGGTCGCCCATTTGGCAACTCTCTGGTGAACAATAATTCGGCCCAAAAATTAAATTTTTGAAATTTTCCATTCTTTTTACCATAACTTGGTACACAATCCCATACTATAATATGATCAATTAGACCTTAGAATACCTGTCCCAACTCACAGATACGGATATAAAATGATCTAAACGTCATGTATTAACATATCCACATCATTATCATCATTCCATTTCAAAATAAATACATAGATGATCAAAGACGGACATTGTCCTCATTACCATCATGTACATATCCAAAATAATTCAAGGGTAGCCCAATGAGTTGCAACTAAATGGCTAAGGTCCTTAAGACCAAATTTACAATACTTATTACAAAAATGCCAAGATTAAAACCCTTATACAAAAATGATCATGTCACTAGCATTAGTTACTAAAATCTACAAAAAGAAAAAAATATCTACATCATCTATCCTTGGGAAAGTCCGTCATCAATCACGTCCTTGCCATGACCTAAAAAATATTAAATGAAGGAGTGAGCACGGAGGCTGAGTTGAAGTTGCATAAGGTGTCAACTTTGGACTCCCTTGAGCTATGAAACACATAATGGGAATAAAACGGAACCAGTGTCATGCCTTAGGGTTATATAACACTTATATCATAATATCAATCTCCATTATGATCATTTCACATTTTTCTCACAAGTATGCAAGGAATGAATGCAATGAACCCTGTCCCCAACCTTGGTCTCTACCAACCCTAACCCATTCTGAAAACCGTTAACCGACTTTACTAAGGTGAGATTGATTAACAATCCCTGGTCTCTATACCGACGACCAT